AGTGAGTTTGCTGGAGTTTCACAGGAGAATGAAGACTGTTTCTGACGGTTAAGTCATTAAAGAAGAAGAAGAAGCTCACTGTCAGACCACGATAAAAATAATTATACTCACACTTCTCCTGGATTCATGTGGACTTGGTTTAATAACTGAATAACTTTACAGACACAACAAAGTGTGAACGTTAACTTATATAATGTAGTGTTTGAGCAGCTGCTTACTGCAGGGCGCCACGTCCTTTCTAATCTTAAATCACTCAGTCCTTACTGTTTTAAGCCCGACACCCATCGTTGGCCGTCGACACCACCACACAGCACTGACCCACACATATAGTTCTTATACACACTGAACATTCTGGACATTGTTTTCACTTCATCACTTAAATCACTTTAAGCATATTTGCACTGCACAAGACACTTTGTTGTATTTTATTGTATATATATATATTTATATTTCTTCATACATTCTTATATATTTCTATACTGTGTATTTTGTTGTACAGTTATTTTATTTTCAACTTTAATTTATATATTTTATCTTATTCTTTCCCAGTTAAATTTACCCTTCATTCTAATTTGTGTTGTAATTTTTATATTTTATTTTATTTTATTCCTTCCTAGTTAAATTTACCCTTTTTAATTTTCATATTATTTCCTATCTTATTCAAAGCCTTTTCTTTTTTTCTTTAGGTCACGAGCAGTTGTCTAAGCATTTCACTGCATATCGTACTGTGTATGACTGTGTATGTGACAAATAAAAAAAATTGAATTTGAATTTGTCTCCTTTCTCCTCACTTGCAGTTTCCATGTCAGGGTTTGTCTGGCGATGCTGTTTCCTGGTTTCACTGTGTGGTGAGCCCAGTGGCAGATCTAAAAATTTTACATGGGGGGGGGGGCAAGAGGTGAAGCCACATATGTGTAAATCTCCCCTGTATGTAAATGGAGTCAACATCATTTCAGCCTGGGGGCGGAGCTCTACAGTGGATGAGCCCGCCCCCTTCTTTTTACATCCATGAAACTTTGGCCTTCATTAACACGACGTGCGTGTAAAGGTCACGGTGGTTACTTCCTGTATTTGCTGCACTCAGCTAGCACTGTGCTGCTGTATGTAACATGGCATCACGCTCACGGTTCAGCCACACTAAACTCGGGTTAATTGAAATCGACAGGTCGGAGCAGTCCTGTTGTAGCCTTTACTGAAATCACACCAAAACATTTTGACACCACGAGTCTCTTCAGCAGCCTTAGATGTTTTTACGATCACCCCAGAGCTGGAGAAACCACGCTGTTTGTATTTTGGGCTGCTGTA